CATCTGCCTTGTGACTGTTACCCCCTCTCTCCTGTACCTTCTGTTTGAAATCTTATCTGAGAGTTTTCCTAGGGGGTCAAAGCCTATGCAAACTTAGTTAAAGGAAAACCCAGAAAACTGTGGTATTCTTATCTGAGAATTTGCATTTGGCCTTGTTCTCCTGGGGAACTCAGATCAAAGACTTTGGTATCGGAATTGACTTTCTACAGGTATGAATCATGTTAGACTAAAAGGGCCCTTTGCTCAAGAGAGGCTGAGTCCCCTGCAGCTGGAAAAGGTAAAATCCTCCAGGTACCTCTGTACTTCTTCCCATGGGCCTGCGTAAACACCCACACCTGCACCAGATATACAACACTTGAGTGACATTTAGTGTGTCATCATCTGTGGCCATCACCCTAGGGGCTGGTGAGGTAAGCTGAAATGTACGCAGTGAGTGTTTGGAACGTGACTGTGGGAATGAGATTAGTTCACAGGAGGAGCTACTGAGCATTGTCTAATTTGAAAATACTGGTAATACTGCAAATTGACCAAGGAGTTAGATTTTGTGCATACGTATGTGGAGGTATATGTGTGTGGCACATGCATGTGGCCATGTGGAGATGTGCATGTATATGCACATGTGTGTACATGCACGTGGAGGCCAGAAGTCAATGTTGAACATCTTCCTCGATCATTCTTCGTCTTATTTTTTGAGACAGTCTCTCACCAAACCTAGACCTAGCCAGTGAGCTCCAGGGATCCGCTGGCCTCTGCTCACGAGCAGTGGGTCTACAGATGTGTGTTGCTGTGCATGGCTTTTACGTGTGTGCTAGAAGCCTGGGCTAAGAATTGTGCTTGCCCGGCAGGCACCTTGCAGACTACCTGGAGTTAGAATTACATAGAAGGTTCTGATACTCCTGTTTGAACTTTTCAAAGGAGAGTAGATGTTGGCTGCTGTTGGCTGGCATTGTCAGGAAGCCACAGAAATGGTACATTTCCTCTCCGTATCAGTTGTCTTGCAAGGTCATTAAGATGGGCAAGGAGATGGGCAAGGAGATGCCCAGGCAAATCCTCACCATACAATGTCCGATGTGACCCTCCCTGGGACATTACTTTTACTATTGAAGATACAATCTTTATTACTTCATTGTGTAGACAAAGAGTCGAGGTTAGGAGAGGTGGGGAATTTACTTGAGGTCACACAACAGAACACGAGCACAGAAAGCGAACTAGTTGGTCCATTGGCAGAGTTGCTCGGAGCATCAACTGTATGTGATCTCCTGCAGCCCCATACGGAAGGGAACCCAGCAACTGGGGATCATTTGTTTCTTGAAGCAACAGAAATTCATTCTAATTTATTTTTATGCATATGGATGTTTTTCCAAATGTTTGTATGGGAAATTAATGCCTTTTCCCAACGGCAGAAATAACCTGCTGTTACACAGAACTGGAAGACTTAAGACAGAGCTGGTTTGCTCCCAAAGGAAAGGATATGGTGAGGAGTAGGGATGTGGGAAGGTTAGACGTGTGGGAGGAAGAGGGGTGGGAAGTGATATCCTGTGGCAGCTGGTAAACGATGAAGCTCTGATTGGCAGTCTTTTAGGTTGTTTGCAGTTTTGGCGATGTAAGCCTTCTCCCACAGACTCTTTAACAAGATTGACACTGTTGGGGGGTTTGTGGCTTAGGGGAGGACCCTTTGCAGGGAGCACAAGCCATGTTGACTGAGCTGTTTCCAAAGCTGGAGGAGGTGCACGGACCCATGACATACGAATAAGGTCCAGCCCTTCTGTTTTCTTTTCCCATCTCTTTCATTTACATCTACAGCCTTTCGTCTTATTATTTCAGCACTTGCCCATAAATAGTCTTCCCTTGGGGCCCTCAGGAGATTAATTCTGGAAGATGCCAGCATCTCAGATTCTAAAGTTGTTTATGTATATTTTCAAACTTGCATACCACATGCATGCATTCAGTCGACACAATCCTCTTTATTTTTAATATTACTCTCATTTATTTAGCTTTTCATGTTTAATTTTATTTATTAAATTTATAATTTAATATATTTATAACATCTATAATTTAATAAATTTATTTATTAAATAATTTATTTAGTTTATTTTTTGTTTTGTCTTGTCTTTGGTTTTTTATTTTTATTTTTTTTACAATGTCTCATGTAGCCATGTAGCCCCCAGCTGGCCACAAACTTACCAGGTAGCTAAGGATGGCTTGATCCTTCTGGCTCCACCTCCTATTACAGAATTCAGCGTCATGCTCGGCTTCACCCATATACTTTAAATTGCCTCTAGAATTCTTAGGAAACGGAATGACAGTATAAATGGCGTGTAAGTAGTTGTCATTTACTATACTGTGGTGTGGGATGTCCTTCTGTATATGTGTTGTTTTTATTGCTAGATGAATCAAGCTGTTTTGGTCAATGGCTTAGCACATTTGTAGACAGAGACTGAGCTTTTATTTTCTGACTGCCCAGACCCAAATGATCACACAGAAATTATATTAATTACAACACTGTTTGGCAAATGGCTCAGGCATATTTCTAGCTAACTCTTATATCTTAAATTAACCCATTTCTATTAATCTGTGTATCGCCACAAGGCTGTGGCTTACTGGTAATGTTCTGGCATTTTTCTCCTTCAGCATCTACATGGTGTCTTCTTGACTCTGTCTACACTCTCTCTCTATTTTCTGTTTGGATTGCCCACATAGCTTTACTCTGCTAAGCTATTGGCCAAAGCAGCTTTATTTATCAACCAATAAAAACAATATATATACACAGAAGGATATCCCACAGCAATACTGAATTGTTTAGGAAGTAATTTAAAGTTTTGAAAAAGTTTATTTTATTTTATGTGTATGGGTATTTTGTCTGTGCACCATGGATGGATGGGTCTGACATTTGTGGTGATCAGAACAGGGTGTTGGATCCCCTGAAACTGGAGTTACAGGTGATTGTGAATCACAAAATGGGTGCTGGGAATCAAACTCAAGTCCTCTAGAAGAATTTTTTTTTTAAGCAGCAGTGTTCTTAATCACTGAATATTTTCTAGACCTAGGAAACAATTATAAGGAGAGAGAGAGAGAGAGAGACAGAGAGACAGAGAGAGAGACAGAGAGAGAGAGACAGAGAGAGAGAGAGGCAGTGTTAAGGAAATGGCTTATTACTGAGACCCGATAACCTCAGGCTGATCCCACCACCCACATAAGCTGGGCATGGCATGTCTGCTTGTAGTTGTGGTGCTGGGGAAGTGGAGACAGAAGGGTCCTTAGGGCTTCCTGAGCACCAGTCTACACAAACTCCAGGTTCAGTGAGAGACCCTTTTACAAATACTAGGGTGGACAGTGAAAAGATGCTCGACACTGACCACTGGCCTCCATATGCACACGCCCAGGAATAGTATACAGGTGGGTACCATCCATCCTTTGTGCGGTAATAGAAAAGGAAAGAAACAAAGAGAAAAAAAAAACAAAGACCAGTTGTCCTAGAGAGGCAGAGTGTGGATAGTTAGATCAGAGATCATCACTAAAGACAAATCCACGCTGTAGTGATGGGAACAGGAGACTGAAGCTAGTGAGGGACCGGGCCCTCCATTCCTCCATCTTTGACCTGAAACTAGTAATGTCTTTGGTTCTGTCCTGGTTAGAGTCCAGAAATGTCAGGAGTGTTTGAGGGTCTGGTTCCCGATGTTGCTTCTTATTATCTTTCTTCTTTTACACAACTGCCCGGAAGCTGTATAAGAAGGAGTGATCGGAACTCCAGCCCAGATGTCTATGGTGCATGGATTCTTTGTGGGTGGGCTAACCCAACTGCCAACTCCCCTCCCATACGGGACACGGACCTCAGTGCAACCATTTTCTCAGTGCCTGCTCTCCCACCGTACGGGAGCTCTGCTTCCTCTCCATCTCTTAAGCTTCCACTTACACATCAGAAGCCACCAGCCTAGGGTTGCTTTGGTGGCTGATGACTTTCTGGAAACCTGGTTCCCAAGGTCATGCTAACCTTAGATGAAAAAAAAAACCTGCCATACTTCAGAAGCCTGATTTCCCTCGTGTCAGGTGGTAAAAGTTATGAAGGCAATGGAGCTGAGCAATATGGTGGCAAGAGACTGGTGGCCATAACAAATTCGTGGGTTGTAACAATGGTCGAAAAGAAGTAGCCATCCGTGTGCAGAGCAGGGGATCAAGGCCCGAGGGAGGCAAGAATGTGTATTGCTGTTATCGCTTCTAATAACATCTGCAGCTGAGGTACCATATCTGAGGATTCTACAGATGGGCTTCCCCTATGGATGTCTAGGACACTGTCCATGTGGCCCCAAAAGAAAAACCGATGGCTCCTGTCTTCCTCCACAAATCTCAAGACTACCGGAGTGCTGTGCCATGTGGACAAAACGTTCTGTGCACAACTTTATTTTTCCTCTGTGATCCGGATTGAAGCCACGGGATCTACGCTTTTCCATTTCTGCTATTCCTAAAGCCACTTTCTTGCACCAGTCTGAACTGACTGCTCCTGGTTCCTTCTGTGGGCCTGCCTCCCAGTTCTTTCTCTATGGACGGTTATGAGCTCTCCTGCTGGCTCATTGCTGGACGTGTTTAATGCTACGGTTAAGGGCGAATGTTTTTCTTTCTCCCCCTTTGGAAAATGTTCCTCCCTCAGTTTTGCTGTGGAAACATCAACCTCTAAAGCAAAAGGGGAGAACTTTGCACAGGTGTTTTATTTGCTGACCTTTGGCAATGGCACCGACTGAGTCATTCCTGGTACTTGAATGCTGGAGTCCTGCCTGGGCCTCAGAGACGACAACTCAAAGGGTGCTTCTTCACGGTGGAGAATTCAGTCCTAAATGCCAGACTCTCATTCCTTCCCTAATGATGGCGCAAACGAGTTGATTCTTTCCTACTGCAGACTTGAACTTTGCAGACACCATTAAACAAAATCATTACCGTGATAAATGTGGGTCAAGAGCTAAGAGCTTTCAGGTAAGTGCCTGCCTGCTGCAGCATTAAAGAGCGAATACCTCACGTTCTCCCCGCCCCCTTCAGATAGTTTGTTAAACGGGGCAACTTTCACCTCTGGTTCTTTTCAAGAGGTGGAGGTGGTTGTCTTTGAGCCTTCTTCCTCACCACCGCTGCGTATGACCAAGCCTGGAGTGTTTAACTTAGCTCCGGAAATGACCAACGCTAAACATCTACTGCCGCTACCCGACCCAGCTGTTTGAAATGTCCGCACAGCTGCTTGGTGAGTGGAGCACAAACCCTTCCTGCTGTTCCTGTTTCTAAGAGAAAATGCTGATTATGAGCCAGAGGATTGGCTCCTAGAGCATCCACTTCTGCTCCTTTTACTGCCAGCTCAGATTTCAGGAGAATAAAACTCGAGTTCAAGAATCTGGAAGCAAATGTGAAAATGGACCTCTTGTTCTAAAAGCTCTCGATGGCAGATTTCACAATCCGCTTCGCCTTTGGTTGTGACTCATGGGTTTTAGGGAACCCCCAGGAGAGCCTTATTTGCTTGGATAGTGAATGTTCCTTCTGGGTGAACAACAGTTGCGCTCCCTTCTCCCTCCCCCACTTCCTGAATGACTGGAGACTTAGTAGTCCATACACTTAGGGCAAACGGGTCCTGGGAGGCTCTATACACCCGAGAGTGAAAAACAAAGATGCTTAATGGAGAAAGGCCCACAGTATCACCCCCCAAAAAGCTGGGGCAGGACAAGGTAGAAGGAAGGCTCGGAGTGCAAGTCCAAAGATGCTCTTTTTAGTCCTTTTTTAGGCCACGCTCTGACCAGCCCAGAGAGTCTGTAACATCCTGCATTGAAGTGTTTAATGCAAACATGGCTGCCTCTAGGCAGTAAAATAGAGACGCCTGCCAATGTGTAATTATATTTTAAAATAGTCTATGTGAGGGTAGGGTAATCACTTTCCCCCTTTTCGCTCTGTCCTCGCTCTCCTGTATTCAAAGAGAAAAAGAAACGGAGGAGGAGGAGGAAGAGAAACATCTATGCTATAGCCCTGGCGGTGAGTTTTTTTTTCTTCTCTTTGTGCCTTACTTCTCTCTCTTTTTTTCTCTCATTTTTTTTAATTTATTAAAGATTTCTGTCTCTTCCCCACCTCCGCCTCCCCTTTCCCTCCCCCTCCCCCAATCAAGTCCCCCTCCCTCGTCAGCCCAAAGAGCAATCAGGGTTCTCTGCCCTGTGGGAAGTCCAAGGACCATCCTCCTCCATCCAGGTCTAGTAAGGTGAGCATCCAAACTGCCTAGGCTCCCACAAAGCCAATACGTGCAGTAGGATCAAAGACCCATTGCCATTGTTCTTGAGGTCTCAGTAGTCCTCATTGTCCGCTATGTTCAGCGAGACCGGTTTTAACCCAGGCTTTTTCAGACCCAGGCCAGCTGGCCTTGGTGAGTTCCCGATAGAACATCCCCATTGTCTCAGTGTGTGGGTGCACCCCTCGCGGTCCTGAGTTCCTTGCTCGTGCTCTCTCTCCTTCTGCTCCTGATTTGGACCTTGAGATTTCAGTCCGGTGCTCCAATGTGGGTCTCTGTCTCTGTCTCCTTTCATCGCCTGATGAAGGTTAATATTCAGGAGGATGCCTATATGTTTTTCTTTGGGTTCTCCTTCTTATTTAGCTTCTCTAAGAACCCGAATTATAGGCTCAATGTCCTTTATTTATGGCTAGAAACCAAATATGAGTGAGTACATCCCATGTTCCTCTTTTTGGGTCTGGCTTACCTCACTCAGGATAGTGTTTTCTATTTCCATCCATTTGCCTGCAAACTTCAAGAAGTCCTTGTTTTTTACTGCTGAGTAGTACTCTAATATGTATATATTCCATACTTTCTTCATCCATTCTTCAATTGAAGGGCATCTAGGTTGTTTCCAGGTTCTGGCTATTACAAACAATGCTGCTATGAACATAGTAGAGCATATATTTTTGTTGTATGATAAGGCCTCTCTTGGGTATATTCCCAAGAGTGGTATTGCTGGGTCCAGGGGTAGGTTGATCCCGAATTTTCTGAGAACCCCTGGCGGTGAGTTTTATTAACTCCTTACTACTCCACTGTGTCCGTAAGCCATCACTCAAAGCAGAGCAGTAGTAATTGCCCACAGTCAAAAAGAAAAAGATGTCTTTTATGACATACTTTCACATGTTAAATAGTTCAGTAAGACCACTGAATTCTTTCACTTTTTCCCCCATTTTTCACATTCTGTTTTGTTTTCTCCACCAGTAAAGCAATTCTGGCCAATAAATAAATACTCAAAATTTTTAAAACTGATATTTTTAAAAAGAGTTTTTGTTTGTTTTTGTTTTTTGAGAAAACTGTGCCCATCAAACCAATGGCTCTCAGGTATTGATTGTATCAAGGTTCTCTAGAGCCGGTTCAGGATTCTACTTCAGAAAGGACCTTCTTGGGTTTATAGCTTGAGGTTTTTAAATTCGGAGAAATTCATTCCAACTCTCTGAGCTCGTTGTGATGGGTTTATACGGTGTGCTGATGTGGATGGATTTTATTCCATAGCAATTGGAGGTTGCTCAGGTCTGGGTTAGAGAATACGCCTTGGGCTAGGAAGGCAATGGAGAAATCAGAAAGAGCGAGTTTGCTGCCCCCCTCGTCACGTCGACCTTAGCCAGATGCTAAAGAAGTTCAGCATCCACCTCAAGAGCAATTCCTGTGTAGCCCACATTGCTCAGTTCATGTCCCGGAGTCACTTTTAAAATAACGATATTGTGCTGGGCGATGGTGGAGCATGCCTTTAATCCCAGCACTCAGGAGGCAGAGGCAGGCGGATCTCTGTGAGTTCGAGACCAGCCTGGTCTACAGAGCTAGTTCCAGGACAGGCTCCAAAGCCACAGAGAAACCCTGTCTCGAAAAACCAAAAATAAAATAAAATAAAATAAAAAAAAATAA